TTAGTCAAGTCTGAGTCTGTGGATTTAATTTCCTTCATCTTAATCGACTAAAGTAGTAAAATAAATTATCCGAAATAAAATGTTGATGTATGTAAGGGCTGTGGAATCCACCATCGCCCCCAATAATAACAATGTCAGCCAATCAGTACACTTAGTCAATCTTTTTTAGATGTACACAGTCAGTTTAGGTTCAACATGCGTACATTTAGGGTATAATCATCAAGCAGTATACCATTTATTTGGCGAAGCTGCATTTGGCAGCAGTTCACAAACACAATTAACAAAAAACAATGATGTCCTATTAAAAAAACAGCTATTTCCAGAAAACCTCACCGGTTCTACATTATTTTTCTTTGAAGGCAGTGTTGTTGAAAAGCATGGTGAGTATTATTATTTTTAAGTAATACATATGCATAAATGGGTTTAAATCCGTCATGTACATGATCAGATGGACTTCGGAGGAGGAAATGTACTCTTTACTCTTGAAGAGAGTCTCCGGAGGACATGGAATGTAACGAGTATCGTTTAGCAGTCTGTAAATAGGTGGCCTGGAAACCAGTGTGGAAACATGTGAATTAAGTGTGTGGTGATTCCTCCTTCACGCTTGGGTGAAGAACCAGACAGAGGCATTGTAGGAAAGGTTGTAGGACTTACTTTATAACATTTATAACATGCCCCAGAATTCGTAATAATGTCTGCGTGATCACAGCATGAGCTGCATGGTGAGAATTTTAGCTTCTGGCCTTTCTGCCTTGGCCAGGATGATACGGACGGGGTGGGAGAGTAATTTAGAAGTTAGTAGCCTCAAGGTTTAATACCGAGTGCGACGAAACCAATGTGTGCTCCGTTGTCAGCCATGGTGAAAAGGAATTATTATTTTCAAAGTGGATATGATACAAGGCGTGAGCGCTTCAATGGCCATTTGCCTCAACATCTTCAATGCATCACATTGGAATTAGCCACCAAGTTGCATCCAAAGGGATGTACAAAGTGATGTGCACGAGAGAAGCATGAAATATATTTTGATTTGACCGACTTGTTCAGTGTGTGAGCATTTTACTTCTGCGATGTAGTTTTTTACTTAATCAACTTGACGCTGTTGCGGATTTCTGGAGGCCCTGATTAAATGAATCAAGAGATGAATTTGCCATGCTACTGGACTCTGAAATTGAGAGATTATTTTCTTTAAATTCCAACCGAGCTGACAGCTACAGGCTGAGTGCTGCTTGGAAACACCGCATTAAGTGATCACACCACAATCTCAACAGAAGAGTGTATTCACATTTATTGAAACTAGCACTTGTGTTACTAACCATTTAGTATAACTAATTAACTATGCCTCACCTGTATCAACACGTAAGTACAGTTGATAATGGATTATCCGGTGTGCGATTATCCGTCTGCTTTCAATGTTATCCGGCGGTTCCGGGGCCCATCCGGCAAAACTGCTCCAAAGACTGGAACCAGTCCTGTGATCAGCACCATGCATGACAAAAAACGAGTAACTACGCTTGATTTCATTGTTCATTATTATATACAGTACATTATACATTACATGCAATATAAACAATGAAAATGCTGCACGTATATACATCACCCCAAGGATTGTCTTTGAGTTGTGCGCCTTTTGGCGTCATCTGGTCCAACACCATGTGAGACTAGGCTCTAAGGAAAGCTGTCTCGGGTGTGGACCAATCAATTTCAAGGACAGTGCATACATTATCAGAGTTATGTTTTTTGTTTGCATTCCGACCGCAGGTATTGTGGTCAATGCAAACATGACTCCTTGTTAAAAAAGGTGTCAGTTTTGTTGCCAGATAAAAGAGTAAAAAATCAATAATCAATCGAAACGTGAGAATTTAATTGTTTTACTTTTATTATATTTTATTACTTCCCTTCTACGTGACTTTACCGAAAGAACCAAGAATATGAATCCCTGCAGTCACGAAAGCTTTAAATCGAGATTTCGTGATTATCTGCTGTTTTTTTTTAATTTGGCGCCCCCACTCCCAAAAATCCTCCAGATAATTATCGATTATAATCGATTATCTAATGTATATATTAACATATTTCAACTAATATTATATAGCATACATTTACATTTATTAAAATACATTATACTTCATCTATTGCTTCCTGTGACTTCCTGCTCCCTTGTGGGCGCACATTGATGTCATAATACCATCTATATAAGGGCAACACTGGAGCGTATTTTCAGATATCCGGCAACTACCTGATGATGCTGCCTGTGTCTACTGGTGAAACGTCGTACTCATTCGTTAGAGGTAATAAACGAGCACGTTTGTTCAAGCTATAATTTTATTCATTGGCTCTCAGGTGAAAGAGAGTCTACGACAAACTTTTTACTTTCGAGATCTGAAAATCATTAATTAAAAATCGATAGATTCGGTTGTGAGAGCCACCATGTCCGATGATGATTATTTTGTTCCCTTTGTGCTTCTGTTCCTATTTCCATATATGACCACTTGCATTCAATACAAAACCCAACGACGTGAGAGAACATGTTTTATGAACGGTTGCCTATGATGCCACTCGGTATATAACCTTCACAATTTGGCTTACAGTTGAGAGTAAAAAAAATATATAAAGAGTTTGAATTATTGTCTTCACATGGCAAATGCACACAATGTTCACCTGACAGATGTGGGCCTAATTTTGCTTATTTTTGGTTTGAGTGTTGTACTTGAACTAGGCTTAAATGTCCCCTCAGGGTGCACATTAACACCTAAGTGCTGTCTGTTAAGGAGAGACAGGGCTTTCACGTGTTAAGGTTATAGAAGTCAGCGCAAGCCCGTGGGCTTTATGCACAGCCTAATCTTCCCCGATGAGAAGAATAAGCGTGTGTTTGAAACAGTTGGCTTTTGGTGGTGATGTTACACATAGTTTTTAGTGCGATAGATAATAGGAGGAAGGGATAAATAAAAATGTGGGAAACTGGGAAAAGAGACGAAAGATCTTGATGGCACTCATGCCACAAGAATCACAGCCACAACAACGGTGATGAGACGGTACGTGCTACTCGATCAGCTGTCGCTTTCCGAAACCTGTGTCTTAATTTATTAGTCATCGGCGTACCATCTCTCGGATCATTAAAATAACATTAGTTCCGTTTGTAGAAAGGCAACGGTGATGATGCTTACATATACTGTCTCCTGCCTTGGCAATGTGGGATTTCTACCACCGTCGTGGGGGCTGCTGACAGTACAAACAAGCCACAACCCCCTACTTTTTGAACGATTTTTGTTGTTGCAAAGTTAAACCAAAAGAGATAACGTAAGCAGATAGATAAGCCATTGCATTGTAATTTAAGCCACGTAGCTTGTACCATTACAGGCTTTTTGGAAGGGTTTTTTCAATATATAACATTCTTGCTTGAGGCTACTTGCCCAGAGGACAAGTTTGTTTCTCGAACAATTGATTTTTTCCAATAATTTCTTTTATAATTGTTTTAATGAGGTGAATGCAAACACAATTATATTCACCGCTGGGGCGAAGTGTCCTCTGCTATTCTACACTTCACTGAAGTGCCGTGCTGGGAAAGATTATAGGTCAAGGTCATGTTGACCTTGTCACTGCCTCAAGGTATTTTTCCTGGCTAAAGGAAGACCTTTGCAATGAGCTATTGCTCATCAAACCCGGCCCTGTGGTTTAGGAGGCACTCGAGTTAGACATTCAAATCAATAATTCATCTGTATTTGATATAGTGTCTTGTGTTCGATCAGGCAAATCTCAAGGCGCTCGAACCATGTGCAGTAACGGTACAAGGAATGGCGCCTGCCATAATTGCATAAGCCAGCGACTTGCAGATGATACCTTTTCGTATATTTTCACGTTCAACTGTGACTGACAAAGTCGCCTTGTTTGGCAAGTGATTTCAATCAGTAAGGGGATTTTTAATGGTCGTTTTTTTCAGTAGATGAAATACATTGGTAATTCCCCACGAGGATACGGGAATTGAATGGTTGACTACACGTTTTTTGGACAGTGTGGAGCTCACTGATAAATTGAGAATCCTCTAAGGCAGCTAGTTGCCGTAGTGGATACTTACACATTCCCACCATAGGAATGTGGAATTTACATCTTTGGCTCGGGGCTGCTAACAGCACTGACGCTTGCTTGTTGGAACCTGGATACTCGTTCGCTACAGGGCCTAGGCCCTCCGAAGGTAAATGCCGAATACACGTTCTAGAGTGCAAGTAGGTTGTGGCCAAACGCTATCTCTCCGTGCAGTGGAGTAAAGTACGTATAAGAAGACATTCACATCGCTTGCAGCTCTGCCTGTTTACAATGACCTTGGAACGATTTTCCCCTACGATGTAGTTTCTCTCAAAAGTGTACCTTTGGAATATGCCCCATTACGCGTATGTTCGAGTGCTTGCAGCAACCCTACACAGCCCGTGGCGTTTTTCGCTGCAATTTGACTTCAGAGCAGCACTTACCGTGGTCCTTTTATTTTTCATCAATAGTATCACAGCTTGGTAGAGACAGAAGCACCTACTGGGGCAGAATCTTACCTCTGTATCACATTACCTTCATTGCTTACGGAGTACTTCACACTAGATGTTCACTTGTAATGTCCCATTTGTAAGGTAGGTTTATTTATACTTTCGCTGAAACTCCCGGTGCACGCGATGTAAAACTCGAGGGTGTGCGTTCTCCAGAGTTCTACGCACAATCGTAAAAACTTTAATCCCTTCAACATATTTTTTTTTCCAAAGCCCGGTTTCTTGCGAGAGTGAGGCAAACGGTGTATGATGGTTTGGGAGAAAAAATAAAATTCAAACTTTGTTGCTGCGCACAACCGCGACGGCCCCTCTCTCGCTCTCTTCCGCGATAATGTGGGGTCCCTGCCTGCATTGTGCTTGCCAGCAGCGGGGCACCAATCAAAAGTACGTGTGTGTTTAATTGAAACTTATTTCTCGTCAATGAATTTTGATTGCTTTTTCTTTTTTCCCCCCCGTGCAATTTGACCTTCGCAGCACTCGATGGGACTTCAGTTGTGCACAAGACCATCGAGATTGCCCTGCACAAAGACGGAAACAGTTTTGGATTCGTGGTCCGAGGCAAGTGTTGTGTACGGAATTATTATTCGTGTTGTTGTGGATTGCAAACTCCATCGTCCACATTCTGTGATTGTGATGAAACGAGTCTATGGTCACCAGGCCATACACACGCATGCTCTCTGACCGTCCCTCAGACAGCATTAACAAGAGTAGGAGGCTGCATACCATACGCGCATGAGTTCAAATCCTGACCAGGATTTACTCAGCCTGACATCATCATTATCATTGTCAGCCTCCCCACATCATCCCTCTTCGGACGGTGACATCAGCACCACAGGCTGCGGTTGCACCACGTTGGTGGAAAGTGGTTTCCATAATCGAAAGACTGATTTCTGCCGTAGTTAATATGGAATTTCCACTGTCGTTTCTGAACCACCAACAGGGATGAGCTACTGCCCACTAATTCTCTCCTTACAAACTGCTTTAACCCTATAGATTAGTGACGTTAGTTTGTCATGTTTTACCACTGCTCGATTTTATTGTTGAAAACAAAGATGTAATTCAAAGAGTCGGGCGATAAATTGCGCCAGGTGCAAGCTTCGGCATTTATATTGAGCGGCTGTTCTAGATCGCCAGAATGGTGAGATGTTAACGACGTCGCCTGGTATGCAGGAGGTCGTGAGTTCGATCCTGACCCTAATGCCTGCTGTATATTTGGAGTTTTCATGTTTCTCTCCCCATTGTCGCGTGGAATTTTCACTGGGTCCACATTTAGAAACGTGCGTTTAGAGTATTTGGCTGTTATAACACGTGATAAGCCGCTTTGTTGAACTATATGTGTGGTCAGGTCGCTTCTGAAAAAGAGCAACATAGCTCAATGGTCCTTACCTGATAAACGAAAAAAATATCTTATAGTTGGGTAAATAATTCTGTATTGGCCCGCAGTTGTGGATATCGCTGAACGTCGGTTCAATCCATGCGAGTGGTGCAGTGGCAGTTCGCTGTCGACTCACTTTTGCAAGACTTGAGAGAGTCACAATTCTAGCCAGTAATTAACTGAGCCCGTCACTTCTCCGAGGTCAACACAATTCAAGTAAATATTTTTTCACTGGACAATTTTGCTATCCGATGCGGGCTCAGTGGTCATCAGGAGAGAGATATGCACAACTCCCGCACTCATATACGCACCAAAAAACGTTCTACTTTTACGTCTAATAGAAGCTGACAATGAAAAAAAAAGAAAAAAAAAACTCCGGTGCACCTGTTCGAAGTGAAGCACTCTGACAAGCCGGCACTTTTGTTTCTCTAAGGCGGCGTTCAGTCCGACAAAAAGAAGTCGCGGCCGATCGTGGTGAGCCACGTCAGGCAAGGGGGCCCAGCTGACAGGTACGCCTCTGGCCATCACCCCTAATCTGTCTCGCCTGAACATTTTCCAACAGCGCCCGATGAGCGAGTAATGCTTAAGTGCCAGCTGCGAGCGTCGCGAGATGTCAGCGCAGACAGCTGTAGCGGGGGCCAGATGAAAATGTTTAATATGGCCCGCGCTTTCTCTCGGTGTATAAATTATGTATTGGCCTTTATCCAGAGAGCCATGTTCTCCAGGCCAGAGTGGAAACAGGCGGCCGCGTTGGCTCGTGTGTCAAGGTATGAAAGCAGGCAAGCTCCGAGACCCTTGAACCCGAGTCACACGGCGTGACACTTGGTGACCAGCGATGTACGGCTGTTATTTGGCTCGTGGAAGTTGGTGGATCGAACCGTGATCACAATGCGAGACAGTCGCTGTGGGGTTAGGTGCCTCTAGGATGCAGTATGGCAATTAGGCTGCTAACCTATCTGTGGATTTTCTCCGACAACTTTTCTTTTCTCTGACCAGTTTCCTCCCACGTTCATAAACATGCCAGGCGGTGGTGGCTCTGGGTGCCGCGGTGGCGAGATGTTAACTACCTTGCTTGGTTTACAAGAGGTCGTGAGTTCGAACCTGACCCTAACGCCTGTATATTTGGAGTTTGCATGTTTCTCTCCCCGTTGTCGCGTGGAATTTTCTCCGGGTACTCCGGTTTTTCCCCCCAGAATAAACGTCACGCGCTTAGAGTATTTGGCTGCTATAAATTCCCACACGATGACAATCCACTTAGCTGAGCTATCATTTGCGATAGCCAGGTCGCTTCTGAAAAAGAGCTACAGAGCTCAGTGGGCCTTACCTGGTAAAATAAAAAATAGTTCAGTTTTAGTTTTATATGCGGAGGCTGGTTGGACTTTGGATCGCAGCATAGGGGAGGCAAATTGGAACGATAGTTTAAATGCTGTGCTGTATATAGTTCTCCCGTGTTCTTGGGTTGTACCGAGTGTTTGGCATGATTGTCCGACGTTTCACTAAAATATTCTGGAAGGAGCTTCTTCAGGAACTGAATTGACCTTTTCAGGAGTTAATTTCATCTTTTCGTTACCAGCACGTGGAGCAGAAACGTTGGACATCGTGCCGACTAAAACGCGGTGACACGTGGAAGCACATTAGAATTGGGGAATCGAATGTTGTGCTTGTTAGTAGAAATACATTGACAATTGCACTTGTACAAGATGCACGAAGTTCTCTGCATCACAAAAATAAATAAACCATTGACCAAGGGGAGAAAAAAAAAACTCAGAAGGTCTGGAGCTAATCGAGGGAACCCAGAAGCAAGAGAAAACAAAAGTGCGGGCCGTTGAGGCGGGGATCAAACGGCGCCGCCGCCGCCGAATCGCGACCGCCGCTGGGGCAGGGCGCTCCCGGCACGGCCGGGGAGCAGCGCAGCAGAGCGCACGGCGCAGTGCGGCGTGCAGCAGGAGGAGCCGCGTCCGGGGGGACGCACAGGGGGCGCAACCCTCCGGTCGAACGATGGGTGGGGAACTTGTGTAGGATAGAGAGCGGGGGCAGCTTAGCAAGCCTGTCACTGGAGTGGCACCACGGAGGTTTGCAACTGAAGCCAGGTGGCGGGAAACTACAAGCTGGGTGTGAGCAACTGCCAAGAGGTGTTTCGGTAAAGAGAAAGCGGTGGTGCGTTGGTCGCAGCATCATTGACAGTGCTCCTGATGCCATCTTGACCGTGACAGCTGTCACAAACTCTCAGTCCGCCCTTTGCCCTTGTCCCACCCCCCCCCCCCCCAGGGATGGAACCCTCAAGGCAGGCGACCGCCTGCTCGCCGTGGAGGGGATCCCCGTGCAGGGACTCTCGCTCTGCGAGGCATCTGTCGTCCTCAAGCAGAGTGGCCAGGATGCCCGCGTGCTCGTTGAGTATGACGTCTCCGTCATGGGTGAGCGGAGGGGTGGACCGTTGCGCACGCGAGCGTACAGAGCAACGCGCTGACGCCTTTGGTGTGAAGGAAGAGCGGTGGCGTTCTTGGTGAGGGGGCCATTATTCCGCCCTGTAAATTTTTGATAGGAAATATTTCGGGCAGCTCTTCTCTCTCTGGTCTCGTTTTTTTTAATGAAATGGCTGTTTTGAGCACACACTTACGTGCATACACACACATGTAGGTGTGTGTATGCACGTGTCTACTTCTGTGTGTGTATGTGTGGTGGCAGTGTCGGAGCGGTGACCGAGTTCGATTCCCGCTCACAACCAACACCAGTGACAATTATCTGAGCCGGTCTTGGACCTCCTTTAGGTCAACTCAGCCTCAAATGAGTACCCGGTGTGAAGAAAACGCTAGGTGCTCAATAACATCACTTGCTTCAACAGTCCATGTGACTCAACAGGGATATTTGATGTTGTGTGTGTGTATGGACAGTGGTAATGCAGTATGGCGGTTGTTGTTGTATCTGTGTCAAGGTGCACATGGCCTGGCATAAGCGTCGTGGTGACGTCACCGCCACTTAGTGGCGAATGGCGGTTGTTGTTAATGCAGTGCTTTGCTTACTGCACTACATATGTATGTATGTTTAACTTCTTTCGCACCGTACGTAGACTAGATTATATCCAGTAGCGGATTTAGACATATTCGTGTGGTATCTGAGCCTGTTCTGCGTGTGTCCTCGGTCAACTTAGGGCTAAATGTATTGCCTGATGCAATCGTTGAACGTGAGCACTGAGGAGGCGGAGGCAGCCGAGCGTGGTTGTAGGCCACACCACGACCTCGTGTACTGTGCCAGCCTCAACTGATGTTCACCAACAGCACTGTCCCCTACGGTCTAATGTCACTTTGCATTTGAGAAGCAGTAACATAGCGTGTCTTGAAACATTGCACTCCGATCGCGGCAGCCGGGATTAAATACCTAACCGCACGCAATACCATTTGCAATTGGTTTTTGCAACTGGCATGGCTCTTAGATCGATTCAGACTCAAATGCGCATCATTATTCGTACTTGAAAGCAACAACCGAATGTGGTGCTGGCCGACTCATCTCTCTAGTTCTCGTTTGTGAATGTGGATGCCTAGAATTCGCACCCCGCCTTGCCCAATAAATATAATCAAGAAACAAAACATCTCTCACTTCCAGCAAACGTATGGGGTCACACGTTTTCCCCGAGCCATGGACCTCATTAACAATAATTACACGAACCGTTACTTCGCTGCCAAGTTTGTCCTCGTTCGAGTTTGCACAAGGAGGATAAACGAGCGGGTCGATAAATGACCCGAGCGATGATTCCTGTTCCGCTCTCTGTGCTCTCCGCTTACCGTGGAGCACGCTTAACAATGATAACCAAACAGCAGTCGAACAATCCGGCACGCACAGCGAAAACGGAAATGATTCTTCTCCTCGTCCCTCGCTTTCTCCACTTCTGCTCGGTCCGTCGCTGCGTCACCTGAGGCGCACTCATTGCACACAAAGTTCTTACCACTAATGAAGCACAATACCTTGCTGGTCTCGCAAACTCCGGTCATCTTCGCAAGCGGCTTTTGGCTGACCATCGAACAAAGACGGTCACCGCATCGCGCGCTTTCAGATGCGCTTCTGCGGCCGTCTGGAACACTCTTCCTTCCGATATTAGGAAGCCACTGGAGCTATGCACTTTTAAATCATCCGGAGTGAAAGTTAATTTCTTGATGAATGTTTTTTTATTTTTAGTTTCTTGTCCTTCCCCCTCACCTCCGATTAGCATGGTTGACTACGAACGGTGAGAAAGAAGTTCAACACGCACACATACATACTGAGACGGCTTCTGTCCCGTCCAGCGGTTTCATGTTTGGCATCCAGTCAGATCGTGGTCAACCTCTTCCCCTAGCACCTTGCAGTGTTTTCTCCATCGTCGTAGTTGTCGTCATCACCATTATCATCCTTTCCAGCCGGCCACCACACTTTACCTGTAAACGCTGAAAACAGGGGAAAAAAACTTTTATGCAAGACTTAGGAAATACAGTGGACAGTTTTTAAAAACAATTCGCATAAGCAAAAAAGACAAACAACCAAAAAACGGGCGCAATGTATTTGTTGGCAACAGCGGTCGAAGTTATAGCGATTGTGCTGCCGAGTGCCCGCTGCCAATGCCGTGCCATCGTGCGTTGGCACGGCATTGGTCTTGAGACCAGCCAAATCACTGCGAAGCCCAAACCTACTGCCACGCTACCCGGTGAATAGACATGATGAAAAATAATAGGTTTTACCCTGCCTGCCAATAAAACAGGTGTGTTAAGATGTTCAAGCGCCAAATAGATACCTTTTGCAAGGCATTAAAGGTCCCATAGATTGTATCATGACAGACACCGTTCAAATTATTATTATTTTCATGTTGGCCTTTTGAGAAATGTCAGAACAAAAGAAACACAGCATTTACTTCAAGAGGGGTGATGCTTTGCCATACAATTGCATTCATGTTGCATTTACTCGAACGATGCCTACAAACAAAGACAAAGATCCCATGTATAGCCTTAGCAGACTGTTGAGGCAAGTGCTTTTCGTGAGCACCGATGAAGGCCGGCACAGCATACGAGGGGGTGGGTGGCCAGCACCACGCTCATATACATATACACTCAATCAAACATGCACACACGTACAACCACACCGTTGGTTAATAATATGGAGACTCCTTTGATCAAGAGCCTTGCCAAGGTTGTCTCAGTTAATACACTGCTGGGTTTTAATGTAATATAAATTAAGATTTGCAGTTAGGGTGAAAAAGCTATCGCGAGCGTTTTTATATTTACTAGCTGTAAACCTGCTAATGCGAGAAGTGTTGTAAGCTTAGAGTTCTACGGTAGTGTAGCAATAGTTTTGTGGGTGCGTGTAGTGGTTAGTGCATTGTTCTACGAATCAGGCAAAGCAGAGTTCAATTCCCGCTCGCAGCTAATAACAGTGGCGAGTATTTGAACCGGTCCTGTGCCTCCTCTAGGTCGACTCAGCATTAAATGTGTACCTGGTGCGGTATGTAATCATCAGCACTGGGGAGACAAAGGTGGTCAAGCACGGTGCTGATGCGGAAGAAGTTCAGCATACGGTACATCTCATCACATTCGCCTCTTGGAGATTGCTGTGGAGAGAAGCGTCCGGACTCCAGGGACCTTAAATTGTGAGGGCAATGCAGGCGGGGCGGGGGGGGGGCAGTGTGAGAGCAGCTCACCGAGCTGAGCAGGTGGTCGACCATTCAGACCAATATCAGTCAGTTACAGATTTTTTTTTTCACTCTCAATTCCACCAGGAGCTGGTGCAAAGACGCAAAAAATACAGTTGGTGTGATACGCTCAAATCTCTTTGATCTCTTCAAAACCCCGGGCAGCCGAGTTCTGCGCATATTGCAGTTTTCTTGGGTGGTGGTGGTGGTGGTTATTGCACGTGGCCTGAAATCTTGGAGACAAGGGTTGGTGGATCGCACATATGTCATGAAATTCCCTACCCCTGGGTGTCAAGGTATGCACGTATTATGTTGAACTTCTTTCACGCTGTACGTAGCCAACCACGCTGATCGGAGGTTCGGGCGAAGGACTGTAAACGAAACACAAAAAGTAGTACTAGAGACATGCTTTTTCCAGTGGCTTCCTGATATCGGAAGGAAGAGCGTTCCTGATGGCCGCAGAAGCACATCTGAAAGCGCATGATGCAGTGACCGTCTTTGTTCGATGGTTAATCAAAAGCCGCCAGCTGAAAACAGTGCAGCAAGTGGACTAAGTGCCTTCCATTTCCATCTGTATGGGGATGGAGTGTTGCACCATCGATCACGTGGGTTTTGCGGTTTCCTCCCACGTGTATAATAAACGCTCATTAATTGGTTGAAAACATCTTAAAATGCAAACTCCGCGTAGCGGTACCCGTCTGAATAATAAAGCAAATTATAATTTTTAAGTACATTCTTTTGATACGTACGCCAGCAAGCAAAGCATTACCGTGTCACATTAGGCGGGAGGCGATGTTGCTACGTGGCTTTACCCACTTAGTTTATTTGCGATTACTTTTCCAATTTGGCAAAACTTGGACCGTGACAGCGGCACAAGTGGCCTACTAGTTTTAAAATACCATCACGCGATCTTTGACGTCCACTGTGAAGCAGATAGTGTGCAATTTGTTTGTTTCATACACCCACAGTATTATCCAGGGCAGCAGCTGGGATCGAACCATGAACAAGCGGCAAACAGCATTCCCGCTTGGTTGTCAGTTTAATACGTAGTTGTAGTTGGCTTTCATGACCAATATTATCCATAATAAAGGTTTTTTTGGGGGGTTACATTGCGTAAATATAAATGTGTCGTTAAAGCCGCCACCAACCCAAGGCAGCCAATTTAGTAAGGTTTGTCACTTACACAAAACGTGTCGATTAGTTACTGGTTCAGCCCACCGGTTGTGTGTTGGAGAGTAATCCCACAACATTTACAATTCGAGTACGACATTTTGCTTGTGATTACAACCAGCAGCTTCATCAGGCGATTAGCCAGAATTTTGACAAAGCCCTCCTTTTTCGGTCTTAAATAGTGACATCATGGCTGTCACTGAATTGGCACAGTAGGTCTTGGCATACTCTGTGTACGTGTGGTTACGGTCTACAGCTGTGACTCCGATAGCTATGTTGGTCACTACATATTCACCTCCGCTCTTTCCCCTACACTCCGTTTATGTTCGACATACATTTGGCCGCAACCAATGCATGGTGATGACCCATCGCCAGGTCTTCAGCTCCACTTTTGAGACGAATTGTTTGGCGATGCTGCTGCGTTGGCAGTGGTGCACAAGCACAATTAACATCAATAACTCTGGCCTTTAAATACAAAATATATATAATTGCCGTTATATCAGGCTATGGTCCTTCTTCATCGGACATGAACAGAGGCCAGATAGGTAGAGTTGATAAGGGTTGGATACCAGATTTAAGATAATTAAGCCTGAT